GAACGAAGGTTGGGGTTCGATTTCTGTCTGTGTCATACAACTAGACCTTAAAAGATGGTCCTTGTTACCCTGCCTGGCGCTCGGATGAAACAGCTGGTTGGGTATCCATGCTACATTGCATCTCAGTGGTCAAGCAGTATAAAACCATCAATAGTCAAGACTAGTTCAAGCAGCCACACACACAGACATGAAAGTTGCTGTATAAGTGCAATAATCTTGGGACTCTGTGTTAAACCCTATTTCACCTCACCTCACCCCTGTTTGAAGACTCTTCTTCACTTCACATGTCAGGGGGTCAGGCCAGTCCCTATTCACCCTCCTCCTCCTCCTACGACCAGGTGGTCCAGCTCAACACTTCCCTCTGACACTCAATGACTTAAATTCAAAATGCGCTCAAAGAGATTTGTGAGAAATCTGAAGGAGCTGGCCCATTGACAAGCCTTTATCGCAGGAGCGTGGCTGATTGGGGTGGCTGTCATCTTCCAAACACTTTACACTGTCCCGACATCCCCCTCGCCTGGTGTAGTATCATTATGTCACCTCTCTGTACCTCCCTCATCAAAGAGTTCCGCACTGTTACCTACTTGCCAGGACTGCAGGATGCCTCTCACTCAAGCAGGTCACCCTTCCTGCACCGCAATGAAAGGGAATTGTATTTTGATCATATTGACAATGGTAACTGATAAGACTTATCTGTGGCCTAATATGTCTACTGTAAATACTGTTGTCAGTTTGAGAGCTCTACAAATTATAGGTGACAGTCGTCTTGGTCCTAATTGAACTTGGGTGATTTCAGCTCTAAGCCCCCTTGAAACTCTATTTTGCAAGTAAAGGAATGTAAGGAAAATGTAAGATAATTTGTCACTTCAAGTTCCTGAGGAGGGACTGATTAGCTCCCATCCTCATCTGATCTAGGGCATCAGTTTTTGTTAAGTGTTTCTCTTGACAATTGAATGTCCTTATTTCCAACTGAACAATTTAAAATGTTGTCTTGTATTCTCTTGACTTGAACCACCTTCCCTTCAAAGAACTATTCATTAGCTTAAATCTCAGGAATTAGGGATTTTGTCCATCTATGCTATGTCATTTGCTATATACAAATACAGTTTTCCAGACATGAAATAGGCAAGTCTGTTGTTTAAGTACTGTAATCATTTTTTCACCATTTGGTTAACTTCAGGGAATGCAAGTATAACATGAAAATAAAACTGACCATTTACTTTAACATCTCAATCTTCAGTGTTAAAATAGTATTGTATTGTCAATAGTATTGTCTGTAAAAGGCAATCAGGTGGTTCAAGCTCCCTGACTTGGTTGATGCATGTCATTGTATCCCCAGGACACGGTTGGCCCAGTCATCTAAGGCGCAGTGATTCCCTTTGCAGATTTGCGTCCCTTGGGCATGCCAGAAACCTGTGATTGTGGGTTTGAATCCCGGTTCGCCCCAATTATGTTTCTAGGTTTGTCAGCACCATACCCTTGCTCGTGGGTTTCACCGAAGTGGTAAACGTCTGAGACCTGCATCACTTCAGGCTTTCCTCCCACATTAAGCTGACACGCCGCAATATAATTGGAATACTGTAACATGAGTGCAATGTGTAAAGCCCATGTATAGTGTCCCCCCACTGTGATATTGCTGGCATTTTGCTAAAAGCGTTGCTCACTCGCTCGCTCATTCACTCGCTTGCTCATTCACTCACTCACTCACTCACTCAGTGCACTCTCACTCACTCACTCAGTGCACTCTCACTCACTCACTCAGTGCACTCTCACTCACCCACTCACTCAGTGCACTCTCACTCACTCACTCACTCACTCACTCACTCACTCACTCACTCACTCACTCACTCAGAACACCGAGTGACCCACTCATGGATTCTCAGCTGTACTTTCCCAAGGAGACAGCTGTTCTGATTACACATTGCATCACTATCTCGGAACAGATGTCCAAAAACACTTTAGTTAACATTTGTCACTGCATGAGATAACGAGACCTGCAAGACAGGTATGGTTCAGTTCAGCACTCCGATAAGGTAGATTGTTCTGATAAATCGCCAGCTGAGGTTTCCTCGGCAAGGAGTGCTTGCCAGTCTGTGGTACATTGCAGTACATTGTTTGCTTTCGGAATGCTCTCTGATTGGTCGATCAGAGTACCGTGTCACCATTTGGCCATCACATTGTAAGAGGTCATGGCAGGTCGCACTGGCTGCTCAAAACGTATACTTTTCATTTGATTACAGCCTTAGCAATGGATGAAATCATTATTCCTGGTGGTAAGAGACATGGCAATATGAAAATTGTTTCATGAAAGCAAAACGAAAACCGCATGTAGTAAGAGACAGGTTGCAACATGTGTCCTGGCTGATTGTGGAATATTGTTTTTGTTTGTTTAATGCCGCACTCGGCCAACAACTGTTAATAGTCAAATCTGGACCAGACAATCCAGTGATTGACGCAAAAGGGATACAATAACATGCAATCAACCAACTCACAGATCCTGACCATGCAATCCATTTAGTCGCCTCGCACCTTGATCATGTGGATTGTTTCTCACGCTGTCATCTCTGGTCTACCTTGTCAAGACTTGATTGTCCACTGAAATGTTCTCTCAGAATATATAGAGATTACTACATGAGCGTCTGTCGAATCAATGTCTATTCTTATGAGGGGGGCACAGGGCCTAAGGCACCTCGATTCCCTGTGCAGAGTTGCATCCCTTGGGCATGCCAGAAACCTATGATTGTGGGTTCGAATCCCGGTTCACCCCGGATGTGTTTCTAGGTTTGTCAGCACCATACCCGTGCTCATGGGTTTCACCGAAGTGGTAAACATCTGAGACCTGCATCACTTTGGGCTTTCCTCCAACATTAAGCTGACATGATATAACTGGAATACTGTTAAAAGCGGCGTTAAACCCAACTTATTCACTCACTATTCTTTTGATTGCATGTTGTGCTTTAATACATAACACAACGGTCATGAGTGACATCACCCAACGTACTGCTTACTACTCTTAGTTAGTGTGACCCTCCTCAAAATGTTGGCGCCATGTCTGTGGAGTAGTAAGTTGATTAGGATAATGCATTTAGATTAACAAGAGTAACCTTAGGATGAATTACAATCAGGAAAGTAGTCCCTCATTATCTAGTCTAACCTCAGGTCATCACCATGGAGTAGCCAATAACAGACCTGGAATTCCATCTCACACAACTGTTAAATACAGTACAAATACACAGGTGTGTAAGGTGTTTTCTTAAACTATTGGTGTATGATGCTTACATTGACACTTCACTGGCATTTCACTGACTTTACATTAATTCATCTCGGTGGAAATATAATCAGATTAACATCTGCTATATTCCTTCTGCGACCCGTGAAGATCCGGGTGAATAGGTCTTCAGCAATCCATGCTTGCCGTAACAGGCAACTGTGCTTGTAATAAGAGGTGACTAACGGGATTCCCTGACTTGGTTGATACATGACATCGTATCCCAGTGGTGTGGATCATTGCTCATGATGTCAATCACTGGTTTGTCTGGTCCAGACTCAATTATTTACAGACCGCTGTCATATAGCTTGACTATTGCTGAGTGCGGTGTTAATCGATAGACAAACAAACAAAACAAATTATTCCTCCTGCCTTCTGTAGCTTTTGAAGCCACAATAATCTTATGTACTGGCTAGCAACCAGTGGTTGCTGAAGACCAATTATCGCCAACTCCCTGTTATAGCTCGAACATGATTGCATCACATGTTACTTTTGCTCGATTTCAGAAGAAGAGAGAGATATTTATCTGAAAAAAATGCACCATATTATTACCATGCTCAAACACAACTTTGTAAAGGCACATGGACGTTGTCACATGACTAATTCACATGAAAATAAAAATCAAACGACACAATGATGCACATTCACTTCTGTCGTTGCTTACTATCTGTCTGTCGTTTCTTCTCCAAAATGCAATTAAAAAAACACTTTTGAGCTGTCTTTCCAAAACCGCATAACCAGTATATATATCGCAGAATCCATATTTCATAGTGTTAAGGATAAGCATTTGTAGATTGAATTTGGGGTAGATTTGTATATGTCAGTTTGCCGACAACAAATACTATAACTGAAGCGGTGTGCATGATCATGTGGCACTTCCTGATAATACGATGGCTATAACCATGATAACTGGTACAGTTAATCAACGGGAAAGTGTTATTTCCACTGTTTTGATTCCCTATCGTAGCTTTATCACAGAAATCTACTGAAACTTATTCCATGGACAGAAATAAGCTCATTTGCTTCGAGTTTCACAAAAATCAAAGTTATTGGTACAGTCAACTCTATACATGGGATATGTCGGAAATAACATCAAAATAAAGGCGATAGCTGGTCGGTGACCAGTAATGACAGACCTTCTGCATATGTTATGTTTTTTCCTATTATTCAGTCCGCCTCTGTGGTCTAATGGTAGAGCGTCTGCCCGGAGAGCGGAAGGTCTGGGGTTCGATCCCCAGCCGCATCATACCAAAAGACGTTAAAAGATGGTACTTGTTGTTACCCTGTCTGGAGCTCGGCATTAAGGGGCACAAGGACTGGTCGGCTCAGAGTCAGTATACTGTGTCTGAGTGGGGTATTCATGTTAAACTGCGGCATGGTATCTCAGTGTGCTAGCACTATAAATCGGCATCAGTCCGGACTAGTACAAGCAGCCACACACACACATACGTGCATGCACGTCGCTATATAAGTGCAATAATCTTGGACGCGACGTTAAACCCCATTTCACCTCACCTCCTATTATTCAGTGATTCAGACTTAGTACTTGTATGTAATATGTTAAAAGCTAGACATGTGTCAATGTAATAAATTCAGTTGAGGGTGGAGTGGATTACTGATGAATTTGTCTGTATTTCAATAATACAAAGGTATTGTTTTTTGTTTCATGTGTCTGGTCCATATGTGATTTCAAAAGCAGAGTATGACCACAAATTCGTTTCATAATTTACAGAGACTCGCTGTGTGTGATAGACTGGAAGACGTCCCAGAAGCCAAAGCCCCTCCTCACCAACACCTTCGACAACCCTCTGCAGTTAGCCGCCTATCTGGGTGCCTTTAATGCAGGGGCGGACGTCAGTCACAAGGTGAGTTGTCAGATCACACCACCACTTTCAGCAACCCTCTACAGCTAGCCACCTATCTGGGTGCCTTTAATGCAGGGGCGGACATCAGTCACAAGGTGAGTTGTCAGATCACACCACCACTTTCAGCATCCCTCTACAGCTAGCCACCTATCTCGGCACCCTTAATGCAGGGGCGGACGTCAGTCACAAGGTGCGTTGTCACATCACACTACCACTTTCAGCATCCCTCTACAGCTAGCCACCTATCTGGGTGCCTTTAATGCAGGGGCCGACATCAGTCACAAGGTGAGTTGTCAGATCACACCACCACTTTCAGCATCCCTCTACAGCTAGCCACCTATCTGGGTGCCCTTAATGCAGGGGCCGACATCAGTCACAAGGTGAGTTGTCAGATCACTCCACCACTTTCAGCATCCCTCTACAGCTAGCCACCTATCTGGGTGCCCTTAATGCAGGGGCCGACATCAGTCACAAGGTGAGTTGTCAGATCACACCACCACTTTCAGCATCCCTCTACAGCTAGCCACCTATCTGGGTGCCCTTAATGCAGGGGCCGACATCAGTCACAAGGTGAGTTGTCACATCACACCACCACTTTCAGCATCCCTCTACAGCTAGCCACCTATCTGGGTGCCCTTAATGCAGGGGCCGACATCAGTCACAAGGTGAGTTGTCAGATTACACCACCACTTTCAGCATCCCTCTACAGCTAGCCACCTATCTGGGTGCCCTTAATGCAGGGGCCGACATCAGTCACAAGGTGAGTTGTCACATCACACCACCACTTTCAGCATCCCTCTACAGCTAGCCACCTATCTGGGTGCCCTTAATGCAGGGGTCGACATCAGTCACAAGGTGAGTTGTCACATCACACCACCACTTTCCGCATCCCTCTACAGCTAGCCACCTATCTGGGTGCCCTTAATGCAGGGGCCGACATCAGTCACAAGGTGAGTTGTCAGATCACACCACCACTTTCAGCATCCCTCTACAGCTAGCCACCTATCTGGGTGCCCTTAATGCAGGGGCCGACATCAGTCACAAGGTGAGTTGTCAGATCACACCACCACTTTCAGCATCCCTCTACAGCTAGCCACCTATCTGGGTGCCCTTAATGCAGGGGCCGACATCAGTCACAAGGTGAGTTGTCACATCACACCGCCACTTTCAGCATCCCTCTACAGCTAGCCACCTATCTGGGTGCCCTTAATGCAGGGGCCGACATCAGTCACAAGGTGAGTTGTTACATCACACCACCACTTTCAGCATCCCTCTACAGCTAGCTACCTATCTCGGCACCCTTAATGCAGGGGCCGACATCAGTCACAAGGTGAGTTGTCACATCACACCACCACTTTCAACAACCCTCTACAGCTAGCCACCTATCTGGGCACCCTTAATGCAGGGGCCGACATCAGTCACAAGGTGAGTTGTCACATCACACCACCACTTTCAACAACCCTCTACAGCTAGCCACCTATCTGGGCACCCTTAATGCAGGGGCCGACATCAGTCACAAGGTGAGTTGTCACATCACACCGCCACTTTCAGCATCCCTCTACAGCTAGCCACCTATCTGGGTGCCCTTAATGCAGGGGCCGACATCAGTCACAAGGTGAGTTGTCACATCACACCGCCACTTTCAACAACCCTCTACATGTGCTACAGGTTGATAATGGGACACATTGTTACACAGGCCTCCATGCTTTTGCAGAGCTTAACCTTTACAAGGAATCATTATGTGATTGGTTCAATTATGATATATATGTCGACAGGGTTTTCCCCAAAATTTCAAGTGTGTCACTTAGTTGTGCATTTAAGTGGCGCCTCAATATTAGAAATGGCTTCTGTTATGTGTCGTGCACAAGTCACTTTGGTCTCGGAGAAGGAAGTTAATCGGTAGTTTGAAATCCCAAGTTGTTTGTATCATAATCTGGGCCGGAAAAGCAGAAAATATCACACCAGACTCAAACACATTCTGGGCATTGTGACTAAGACATTGAACTTAAGCATAATTTGATATTCACCAAGGTTATGAGTTGTTTCAAAGGTTTTTAAGAATTACTCATTGGCCTGACTTGAATTCTTTCCACCTGTCTCTAAATGCTTTGAAGGAACCTACAAGAGAGGTAACAGTTGTTGCTATGTGATTATTGTCTATGATGTTATACTGTTATACGTCCTAGAGAAGAGGGCATAAACAGAGATAATGAACCATGTGTAATAATGGTGTCACTCTCACAACGGAGATAGGAAATTCTTTGCTGAGACGAGGTTAGAGTAGGTTCCAAGTGCCCTGGGCCCCGTTCCACAAAGCGATCTTAGCACTAAGGTGCTCGTAAGTACCATACTTTAACATAGGTTTACGATCATCATAGTGCTAAGATCGCTTTGAGGAACGGGGCCCTGTTGCTGGCTGTAAGACGGGACTTTATAAGAGCAGTTGATCAAGCTGTGATGTGTTTGTTTGTTTGTTCTGTTTGTTTGATTATTTGTTGTTTAATACTGCACTTAGCAATATTCAAGCTATATAATGTCAGTCTGTAAATAATCAGGTCTGGACAAGACAGTAAAGTGATTGACATCATTACCTTCTATCCATGCAATTGGGATACAATGGCATGCATCAACCAAGTCAGTGAGCTTGACCACCCGATCTTGTTAGTTGCCCTTTACGACAAGCATAAATGCCTTTTACAGCTAACATGGGTTGATGAAGACCTATTGTACCCCTCTGTCATGTGGCTGATTGCATGTCATCATACCTGGTACGATGCGGAATGTTGCTCATTCTTTCAGTCACTGGTTTGCCTCACCTGGACTTGATCATTTAAGCTGCAGTTATATAGCTGTAGCAGAAATCAACTAAAAAGAAAAAAATCCAGACATGTAATGTCATGAGGACATTGTTGGTATCTCATCGGTTCTCACTTCAGTAGACACTATAGCTATTTATCAAGATATTTATCGTGCATTAACAACACGTTTAAATGCAGATACCCTATGTACATATTTGCATTTCAACGTGTTGTTAAGTATTGGTGGAAAATAATTAATATGCCTGAATCAGGTTTGGTAAAGAAATGTTATTACTTATTATTGTTAGACTGTAGTAATGGTAAAACTAACTGGTCATCAAAAGTAAAACACATCCTATTCTCTACCAGTTTTGGTTACATATGGGACCAACAATTTATAAGTAATATCTCCAGCTTTCTGTCGGAATTCATACTCTGCCTAGAATTATCTTATGAACAAAATTGGCATGCAGCTCTTTCATCAAGCTCAAAATCAACTCTTTACAGTTTATTCAAAACAAATTTCGGCTTAGAAACATATTTAAAAGAATTATCAATAGGCGTGCCCTTGCGCAATTTAGATGCAGTTCCCACCAGCTGTGAATTGAGACTGAAAATCTGAAAGGTTGTGTCAGGCTTGCAATCAAAATCAAATTGAAGATGAATTTCATTTTATAAGTATTTCCGATCAATATGTACATTTAAGACGAAAATATATACCCAAAAAGTTTTACCTGTACCCTCAATACACACGTTTAATATTTGAATGGCATCAAATAATGTAATGATCATTCAAAATCTATCCGTATTCATTTACAAAGCAATGAAACTACGTCTTGTGTAAATCACCTAAAATTTTGTATTATAATGTTTCTCTCTCACTGTATACTCTGTAATGTATAATGGGCCTGTGGCCTACAATACATTATGAATAAAGACTATATATAGTGGGTATGACAATAGTACATTTGTGTATGTATAATACTGGTTTTCTTAAAACATGAGTTAGATTCATTATGTTCATGCAGTGAACCTGGGTTTGATATGCAACATGTTTAAGTATCTGAAACCCAGTCTAGTATTCACATTGTGACATGACTCCAAGCTCTCACTGATATAGGATCAAGTCTCTTGTGTTTTATGCCCTACAGTGTACCCTGGTCTTCCCCTTTTCATAATATCTCAATATCCCAATATTGTTATGAATCTTAGATTTCTTTTCAAATTTATGTATTTTTATCATGTTATCATGATGAGTTATTTTTTTGAAATTGTGAATCATCATATTTCTCTGTGAACAGATCATGTGGAATATGAAATTAATAAATTTTGAGATGAGGACTGTGTTTGAAAACAATATTTTCCAATGACCCGAGGCCCCCAATTGTTTTCCCAATATTTGCATTCGTTTCAGACACATCATGATTCATCTTCATCCTCAGATTTAGTCATGAGTATAAGAAGATGCAGTTGGATCCATGAATTAATTTCCTTGTCTTGGAGATAATTATGTTTGAGTTGACTAATTGCTTCCATTGTATGGATTCGGAAACAGCATGCGAGACAGTCTGAAGGATGGTCTGAGCTCCGGGTCTTGTAGATACGCCCGCATTTGACCGCTACCTTTCATGCAGCTTCTGCGGTTCAGCTCCTTGTGATTTGTCTGACAATTGGTCATGGCGTGATTAATTAGGCTGATTAATGCACTTGAGATATAGATGGAAGCTGTGGGAGAAGAGGCAAGCAGCTGCTTCGTTAGCTCGAGGAGCTTTCATTTCATCCATGTCTGGCTGTGACTCAACACAAAGATGGGAGAAAATTATGAAATTCATCTCAATTGACATATTTTTTTATTTTATTGGAAAGTTTGCTCGTGAGAGAAAGTTCTTGGGTGTGACTAAACTGGTGTTTTGATTTGAATTCAACGTCGTTGATCACCTCATAGTCTCTCTTGCATACCCGAGAGTATATATGCTTAATGAATCATTCCCGCATTTCATCCCCCAACCCTTCTCAACTCTGTCAGCCTGTACTAACCCCATTCCCAGCTTATGAAATTTAGAGACTTGAGGGTTCCCTCAACAAAAATTATTTATGTTTAACTGTACAGATAACTTTATACCATGGACAGTATGTTAGTGTACCAACCCCGCTGAAGTGTTGAATGAATGGGATGTGACAGGAACCAGTGGTCTACTGCAG